TATCAATTTAAATTTTTTTTTTGATATCGAAAACAAGACAAAAATTTCTTTTTCAATATTTATCGTTTAGAACCGCCGGATCAGGTACTGCCTAGAAATACAATACTACAGCGGTTCGTAGAACTTATGGCGAATTTCCAATAGGCATTGAAATTGCGAAAACGGTGTGCCATTTAAAGAAACTCTAGAAGGAAACGAGTTTAATGAAAAATTGTTCTTAACGCAATGCCCAACTTTGTCATTAAAATTTGTGTCATTTATTGCATCTAGCGACCTCTCAAGGATGTTCAGAAGAAACGAAGTTAGGTAGCATGGTAGCTGCTACCTGCCTTTGGCAAGAATGCCATCCACTAAAGAGCTCCCACAACGATTTTCTCCTTTCTTCATTTATTGATTTTGAGTTTGCACATTTCGCTAGCCTAAAGGTTTACCTCACCTGTTTTCAAAGAACGCCAAGTTCGCAACTAATTTGTTTAACCTTTTATTTGCTTTTCATGCTTTTTCGCGTCAAAAAGGCATTAGAACAGGCAATTGTTCATCCTTTCCAGGCTCTTACGTTTCTAATCGACCAAGGCGAATTAAACTTGTTCCCTTTTGTTATCTGGTTATTCTATAGCAAGTATCCAAAGCATTTGAGTTTAGGGTGCGTACTAATTTTATGAAAAATTACACTAAATAAGGCACAAGTCGAAACAGGTTGGTCTTCAAACCATATTTACCAAAAAATGAGAGAAAATCGTAACACAATCCATTAATTTTATGGCACATGGCCAGGTTTCAACGCGGATCGATTTGGTAACGTAATGCCGACTAAATTTTTACCTAGCTGTTTGCCTCACTCCACCCCACAATGGTTGTGTACATCTCTAAATAATTAGGCATATATGTACATGCATACATACATACATACATACATATGTATATAAGAACGCTGTTCAATTCGCTTGATTTCAATATTTACATAGTCTACTACTGTCCGTATTTGTAAAAACAAAATCGACCGATGAGTGCGAAGTGCATTTGCCATGAATTGAACTTCAGACGCTTCAACTGTCGCAACGATTTTAATACATTCCTACAGATATACATACATACATGTAGTACATACCCTGCAGAAAAAAATTACAGATTGATTAAAAAAAAAAACAACTTCTAGTTAGCTTTTTTTCAGAATTTAGATAAGTAACTAGCTTCTAATTAGCTATGACAAAAATAACTTTAAGTTAGTTGTAAAGTCGTGCAGGAGTCATGCAGACGCTATTGGGAGTTGGTTTTCTTTGCAAGTTTCTATTTAAATATACTCATTCAAAAATTACTTTCAATACACTTTTTCTCTGCACTTCGCAGATTATTTTTCGTATTCAGGACAAATAAAACAATGGTCGAAATTTTATATAAGCAACTATGTAAGTTAGATAAAATAAGTAAATAAATAAAAATATAAAAAATTAAAAAAAAAAATTTTTTATTGATAGTTTATGTACAAAAGTAGTTAGCTACAAGTTAGTTGACATAATGCAGCGGAAATCAGTTCTCACTATTTTGCCGACATCGCCCTTCAAAAGTAGTTAATTACGGTCAAAAGAAATAGTTAATAAATAGTTACCACTAGTCGACCGCTAGTTGGTTAATAGTTAGCTACAAACTAGTCCCATTTCCTGCAGGGTGTGTACGTATGCATGTAAGTATAAAAAAGTGAATGCAAATTACTTACAAAACAACAACAAAAAACGCACTGCGTCTACTAATGTTTGTAAAGATATGCATATTCGTATATTTTTCATTTTTAATTTTTGTTATTTTGCTTGTTACTACGTTGTATGTATGTATTGATTGCATTTGATGATTGCTTTCAAATCGCATGTCGTCGATATGTATTTACTACATACATACATACGTATGTACATTTTNAAACTAGTCCCATTTCCTGCAGGGTATGTACGTATGCATGTAAGTATAAAAAAGTGAATGCAAATTACTTACAAAACAACAACAAATCTACCAATGTTTGTAAAGATATGCATATTCGTATATTTTTCACCTTTAATTTTTGTTATTTTGCTTGTTACTACCGTGTATGTATGTATTGATTGCATTTGATGATTGCTTTCAAATCGCATGTCGTCGATATGTATTTACTACATACATACATACGTATGTACATTTTTATGTACTTGCAGTTGCTGTGTAGCTGCAATTTTTTTTTTTTATAAGCTAGCAATTTTTAGGCTTTTAATTTTTTATATTACATATTTTCATATTTACATTTGTGCTTTGACGATTTTTTTCGCTAGTATCTTTGTATGTGATTTTTTTTTTGTTGCATATTCATTTGTAACTTCAATAACAAATTTAATTGTTTTAAACGCCACATGACGAACTCACTGGTGGTGGTGGTGGTGGTGGTGAATGCAGCGTCACGCAAGCGCTGGACTTATAAAAGCGAAAATAATAAAATAAAAATCTATTGTAAATAGGTATGAATGTTTTCACTTAACAAAATTCATATCAAACTTGTGCTTGTTTAGAGAAAGCAAGCGGCCGGCAACAGCTGCATGAACATATTTTTTTTTTTTTTTATTGCTGAATCAAGATCTTGCCAGCAGCAACAAGGCACAACATAAAATCGCTAGTAGAAAATAATCACAATCAATAAAAGGGTAAATAAATTTCAAGTATTTTGAAAAATTTAATTATAAACAAGAGAAATTAGCAACAAAGAAACGTGCGCTCATGCGCAATTGCTGCTGCGCCTTTGAAGTGCTGCCACTGATGAGCAGCGTGATTTGCGGTGACACATTAGCCGGACAGTGAAGGTTAATGGCGACACTCATGGCTGTACATACTTACATGCATCTAAACATTTGTGAGCATAGTTATAATGAAATCGACTGCTTCGTAAATAGATCGTTACATCAGCAACGGAACTATGCGCTGGAAAATGTGTGATTCAGTAAGGCCTTAGTTTTACTTTTATAAATTTTTTAAAGACAAGTTTTTTTAGTGATTATTAAAATAATCGGTCCCGCGCCACCTAACGTCTAAATTTTTTGTGGAGGTATTTCTTTCTTTTTAAGTAATATAAGTTCCAAATATGAACAAAATCGGACCATATATACAGATTTTCCAAATATCTTGAGCCCTGCGCCACCTATCAGCAAACATTTTTGTGGAGTGATTTCAAATATGAACCATATCGGACTATAAATAAAGCGTTTTCAAATATCTCGACACCTGCGCCACCGAGCGGATTAGTCCAGCTTTCATATTGCATTGTCATCGGGTTCTGAGCTAAGTTTAAACTTTCAAGTCTAGGGAAGTTGGTTAAAAATTGATTCCAAGGTAATAATAAAAGCTTGTTATAAAAGCATGTGAAATAAAAAACAATATTTGTCGAGAAGATTCTTTTTAATTCGTCGTGCTCTTTAGCTTATACGTTGCCTCAGAGAAAGAAGTTCAATGGTGTCAGACCGCAATATCTCGTAAGATAATGCGTCCTATGAACTCCATTCACAATAGGGCTATGGTTTCAGGCCACATTGAGCCAATGCTCTTCATTGGTCGCCTCGCTACGGCATCACACTCCATAACTCCATAAGCAGGTGAAACGGTGTCTCCTCAGCTGAATCGCAGAAATGACAGAGATCGGTCGACCAGATTCCCACCTTGTACAGATGTGCTCTTAATATGCAGTATGCAGTTAGGAGGCCTATAATTATTCTGAGTTTGTGTTTGGGGTAGGCATGTGCGTTTAATCAATTAATCGAGAAAGCTGATTAATCGAAACCTGATTAATTAATTAATCAAAGAATAATTTCTCGATTAATTAAATTTAATCTTATTAATCAATTTATTTATAGAAAAAAAATTTACTTCAATAGTGCCACAACTCAAAAAAGCTAAACTGGAGAAGAACGGCTTTAAAGTTTTGAATTTACATATACTCCCACAGTAAAAATGAATACATATTTGATTCTAGGGAGATAACAAGTTACTGAGATTTTACTTCATTTTTTATGAGTAAACAGTAACTACTCAGGATCTGATTAATCACATTTTGGATTCATCAGGATTATGATTAATTAAAAAATTATTTGATCGATTAATCGCCCACTCCTAGTTAGTGAAGTTAGTTAGAAATTTAAATCTTTTTAGATTATACCCCCCAGTAAGCTTTTGGGCTCGGGAAGTATCGGCTATCTCTTTGCCTCGTATAACCTTCTAACCTGACACCCACAGTACCTGGATGTTGTTGAGTTCCACAAGGTTGTTAAACTTCTCAATGCACTCAAGGACTAAGGATGATTTTACCACCAAGGATGATAATGCCTTAAATGCTGCCTAGCTGTAGCTAAGGATTAAGATTCTCTCGTTGTGGTAGCCTCTAAGTAAGTTCATCTCTGCACACCTTCGCTTGGAAAATGCTCGGGTATTTGTTCATGGGCACGGATAGCTTCATCCTCATGGCCATAAATGCCTGCCCCAATAGCTACTGGTATTTTGGAGCCGTCAATGTTTTATTCCATATTCCATATTTACTTTTTTTACATTTTGAAAGTCAATCTATTTAATGTTGGCAGCTCAAAAAGAAATTGGAAAGTGCAAAATTTTTCTAAACAAAAACTCTTAACTCTTTTCGTCTAAATTTCGATAATGGCCGCAATGAGTCCCACACGTACCAACTGAAGCAACTGAGGACATAAAGAGCCCCAAACCTCTTCCAGTAGTGTTAATACGAGCGGACTACAATCCCACTGAAATGTCTGCAGCAGACGGTGTCAGCTTTGTGGACGATTGCGATTCGGAGCATTGTAATCAAATGCGTACCTGGTCTTCCGATCAAAATATCGAAACCCAGCGCGCATACCGAATACACGGTCGCAGCACGTAAAACCTAATAGCTTTCATAATTTCTACACTCAAGTTACTCCAATGCACAAAACTTTCAAACTTTTCCCACAAACGTTTTCTAATCACGCAAATTTTCCCTCTCATTTCAGATGAATCCCATGAACCAGATGCAGAGCATGACTATGGGCGGTGGTCCACAATTGACACCACAGCAACAGCAGCAACAACAAGCCATGAACGGGCTGGGGCCCATGGCTAAGATGCAGGGCATGGCGAATGGCGGGTATGCACGTCGTAACACGCCTTACCCCACGCCACAGATGCATGCGGCACAAAAGCGCGCCAGCTACCCCTCTATGGGCAATCCGTCACTACAGAATGTTCCTCCGCAAATGAGTATGCAACATTATGGCCAACAGATGCACCCGCAAGCTGGCAGCGGTGTACCGGTGCCTATGCAAGCGGGCGCCTACGGACGTGGCGGCCCCATGGGCGGCTATGCCAGAGCTAATGCTATGGCACCGGTTGGTATGGGTCCCGGCGGTGGCATGGGTCCCAGTGGTATGGGTCCTGGCGGCATGGGTCCCGGCGGTATGGGTCCTGTTGGCATGGGCCCCAGTGGCATGGGTCCCGGCGGCATGTGTCCAAGCAATATGGGTCCTGGCGGCATGGGTCCTGGCGGTATGGGCCCCGGTGGCATGGGTCCGGGTGGCGTGAGTGCAATGCAGCGTGGTATGCCACAGGGTCCAGGCGGTTACAGCGCCGCTATGGCGCATCAACAGAATCAATATTATGCGAGCGTGAATGGTGGTGGCGGCGGTGGCATGGGTCCGGCTGGTCCGAGCTCTCTAACAAATACCGGTGCGATGTACCAGAATCAAGGGTGAGCATATAGTCGACGAATTTATATGATTATTAAATTATTCGTGTATTCCTCCGATCCCGATCGATACCTGTCAACCTTCGTCCGATCCTAATTTAGCCAATCCTGTATTTGTATGCCATACTTGCAAGTCTATAAAGATTTATTGAATTCTTATTTCCCTGTGTAGTTTCCAGCAAAATTACCAACACAGCCCAGTTCCTGGTAATCCGACGCCGCCATTAACACCTGCCTGCAGCGTTCCATACATCAGTCCGAATCCAGACATCAAACCCATTATGGACAACTGTAAGTCTATTTTGATGCTAAGCATTTTAAAGCGTACATTTCTAACGCAAGAATTTTCCTATCTTTGCATATCCTTCGCGCACACTTACACAACAAATCACACACGGGTCCATTCCTCTTTCCGTTGTGTTTGCATGGACATACAGGCGAGGAGATGCGACTGACTTTCCCCGTACGTGATGGCATCATACTTCCACCTTTCCGCTTGCTGCACAATCTCTCCGTCAGCAATCACGTATTCCACTTGAAGCAGAATGTCTACAATACGCTCATGTGTCGGTAAGTAGCCTGCGACTCAACTCTCTTTGAGTGTGTCCAACTGCATGAAGGCTAATCGTGCAATTATTTGTTTGGTTTACAGCTCCGACCTCGAGCTGCAGTTGAAATGCTTCCACCAAGACGACCGGCAGATGAACACGAATTGGCCGCATACAGTAACGGTTTCGGCTAATGCTACACCCCTCAACATTGAACGGTCCGAGAAGACGGGCCAAGCACTGCGGCCGCTATATCTGAAGGCAGTGTGTCAACCCGGACGCAATACTCTCCAACTAACCGCTAGTTCCTGCTGTTGTGTATGTATTGCATACCTTTTACATACCACATAGAAGCTTATTTTGCTCTGCCTAATACACACAAGTCTTATTCTTATCTTCTTCTTCTCCATTGCAGTCCCACTTATTTGTGCTACAGCTAGTCCATCGACCTTCCGTGCGGCATGTTCTTCAAAGCCTGCACAAGCGTAATTGTTTGCCGGTAGACCATTGTGTAGCCAAAATCAAACGCAACTTCATGGTCTGTTCGACGACCAGCGTTCCACTAGAATCCGGCGCCGGCAATATGGAAGCGACAAAATGCACCAAGATCTCATTAAAATGTCCGATCATGAAGTCTCGAATACGAATGCCTGCGCGAGGACACGAGTGCAAGCACATCCAGTGTTTCGATCTGGAGGCCTATCTGCTTATGAATTGCGAACGTGGCGCCTGGCGGTGTCCCGAATGCAAGTGAGTATACTAGATTGACTAGAGCCACAACTCTTCAAAAAAAAATAAACTTTTACGGGTTATTAAACAAAACTAATTCCGAAATTTTTACTTTTTTCGCAGTAAACCCGCGCTGACAGAAAGTCTTGAAATCGATCAGTATGTCTGGGCTATTTTGGATAAACTGAATGGCACTGATGTGGACGAGGTTATCATCGATTCGAGTGGTAATTGGCGAGCGGCGCAAGGTATACACCAAGGTTCACCGATCAGCGCGATGTCTGCACAAATGCCCAGCCCAATGTCGGGACAAATGTTGCCAGGAGGACAAATGCCAGGTCAAATGGGTGGTCCAACCCCGAGTCAAATAGGCGCACAAATGCCCGGACAAATGGGCGGTCAAATGCCTGGTCAAATGAGCGGACAAATGCCTGGGCAAATGGGTGCTCAAATGCAAGGACAAATGGGACCGATGGGTAGCCAAATGCCAGGACAAATGGGCGGTCAAATGGGTAGCCAAATGCCGGGTCAAATGGGCGGGCAAATGGTTGGACCCAATGTGCCGAGTATTAAACAGGAAAATACCTTTGACGATCAATCAAAAGTGATGTCACCATGGGACAACTCGCAGGCGATGAGTCCCTACATGCAACATGACATGAATGCGGGCACGCCTAATGTACCCGGTGCGGGTCAAATGTAAGTGCTACTTAAAGAATAAGACAAACAGGTGTGACAATTAATTCAAATACATATTTTGCCAATTGCACAGACGCAGTCCCTTCGACATGTATAGCGGTGGAGATGTCGGTGTTAATGATCAGCATACAGGTGATACTGGTAATTCTCTTGACCAGCTTAATGCAATGGAGAAGAGTCTCAACGATCAGGTGAGTATGGTATTGAAAATATATCAGAAAAATCAAACAAATCTACATACACACGTACGTAGTACACATACGAACTTAATTAATTAGACTTGTGTGTATAGGCAGAGCAAAAAAGCTTCTATGTGGTATGAAAAGTATGCAATACATACACAACAGCAGGAACTAGCGGTTAGTTGGAGAGTATTGCGTCCGGGTTGACACACTGCCTTCAGATATAGCGGCCGCAGTGCTTGGCCCGTCTTCTCGGACCGTTCAATGTTGAGGGGTGTAGCATTAGCCGAAACCGTTACTGTATGCGGCCAATTTGTGTTCATCTGCCGGTCGTCTTGGTGGAAGCATTTCAACTGCAGCTCGAGGTCGGAGCTGTAACCAAACAAATAATTGCACGATTAGCCTTCATGCAGTTGGACACACTCAAAGAGAGTTGAGTCGCAGGCTACTTACCGACACATGAGCGTATTGTAGACATTCTGCTTTAAGTGGAATACGTGATTGCTGACGGAGAGATTGTGCAGCAAGCGGAAAGGTGGAAGTATGATGCCATCACGTACGGGGAAAGTCAGCGCATCTCCTCGCCTGTATGTCCATGCAAACACAACGGAGAGGATTTGGACGGTGTGTGATTTGTTGTGTAAGTGTGCGCGAAGGATATGCAAAGATAGGAAAATTCTTGCGTTAGAAATGTACGCATTTAAAATGCTTAGCATCAAAATAGACTTACAGTTGTCCATAATGGGTTTGATGTCTGGATTCGGACTGATGTATGGAACGCTGCAGGCAGGTGTTAATGGCGGCGTCGGATTACCAGGAACTGGGCTGTGTTGGTAATTTTGCTGGAAACTACACAGGGAAATAAGAATTCAATAAATCTTTATAGACTTGCAAGTATGGCATACAAATACAGGATTGGCTAAATTAGGATCGGACGAAGGTTGACGGTATCGATCGGGATCGGAGGAATACACGAAAAATTTAATAATCATATAAATTCGTCGACTATATGCTCACCCTTGATTCTGGTACATCGCACCGGTATTTGTTAGAGAGCTCGGACCAGCCGGACCCATGCCACCGCCGCCACCACCATTCACGCTCGCATAATATTGATTCTGTTGATGCGCCATAGCGGCGCTGTAACCGCCTGGACCCTGTGGCATACCACGCTGCATTGCACTCACGCCACCCGGACCCATGCCACCGGGGCCCATACCGCCAGGACCCATGCCGCCAGGACCCATATTGCTTGGACACATGCCGCCGGGACCCATGCCACTGGGGCCCATGCCAACAGGACCCATACCGCCGGGACCCATGCCGCCAGGACCCATACCACTGGGACCCATGCCACCGCCGGGACCCATACCGACCGGTGCCATAGCATTAGCTCTGGCATAGCCGCCCATGGGGCCGCCACGTCCGTAGGCGCCCGCTTGCATAGGCACCGGTACACCGCTGCCAGCTTGCGGGTGCATCTGTTGGCCATAATGTTGCATACTCATTTGCGGAGGAACATTCTGTAGTGACGGATTGCCCATAGAGGGGTAGCTGGCGCGCTTTTGTGCCGCATGCATCTGTGGCGTGGGGTAAGGCGTGTTACGACGTGCATAACCGCCATTCGCCATGCCCTGCATCTTAGCCATGGGCCCCAGCCCGTTCATGGCTTGTTGTTGCTGCTGTTGCTGTGGTGTCAATTGGGACCACCGCCCATAGTCATGCTCTGCATCTGGTTCATGGGATTCATCTGAAATGAGAGGGAAAATTTGCGTGATTAGAAAACGTTTGTGGGAAAAGTTTGAAAGTTTTGTGCATTGGAGTAACTTGAGTGTAGAAATTATGAAAGCTATTAGGTTTTACGTGCTGCGACCGTGTATTCGGTATGCGCGCGTGGGTTTCGATATTTTGATCGGAAGACCAGGTACGCATTTGATTACAATGCTCCGAATCGCAATCGTCCACAAAGCTGACACCGTCTGCTGCAGACATTTCAGTGGGATTGTAGTCCGCTCGTATTAACACTACTGGAAGAGGTTTGGGGCTCTTTATGTCCTCAGCTGCTTCAGTTGGTACGTGTGGGACTTCATTGCTGGCCATTATCGAAATTTAGACGAAAAGAGTTAAGAGTTTTTGTTTAGAAAAATTTTGCACGTTCCAATTTCTTTTTGAGCTGCCAACATTAAATAGATTGACTTTCAAAATGTTAAAAAAAAGTAAATATGGAATATGGAATAAAACATTGACGGCTCCAAAATACCGTAGGTATTGGGGCAGGTATTTATGGCCATAGATGAAGCTATCCGTGTCCATGAACAAATACCCGAGCATTTTCCAAGCGAAGGTGTGCAGAGATGAACTTACTTAGAGGCTCCACAACGAGAGAATCTTAATCCTTAGAGACAGCTAGGCAGCACTTAAGGCATTATCATCCTTGGTGGTAAAATCATCCTTAGTCCTTGAGTGCATTGAGAAGTTTAACACCCTTGGGAACTCAACAACATCCAGGTACTGTGGGTGCTAGGTTAGAAGTATATACGCAAAAGAGCCGGCGCTAGACAACACGGCGAACTCGCCCACCTGAACAGGCCAACATCGAGACTTAAAAAAGGAAACTGGTAATACACTAGCGTACGACAGGGATTACACCAAAAGCTTACTGGGGGGTATAATCTAAAAAGATAATTTAATAATTACTAACTGAGGGATTAACGTCAATTTTTTTTCAATCCATGAATCAAATTTAGTCCGATGTTACGTTAATAAAAAATGAAGTGAAATCTTAGTAACTTGTTATCTCCCTAGAATCAAATATGTATTCATTTTTACTGAGTATATGATTCACTTAGCCGTTTTCAGTTAGCTTTTTTGAGTTGTGGCACTATTGAAGTAAATTTTTTTTCTATAAATAATATTGATTAATAAGATTAAATGTAATTAATCAAGAAATTAATCTTTGTTTAATTAATTAATCAGGTTTCGATTATCAGCTCGTTCGATTAATTGATTAATCGCACATGCCTACCCCAAACACAAAGTCAGAATATTATAGGCCTCCTAACTGCATACTGCATATTAAGAGCACATCTGTACAAGGTGGGAATCTGGTCGACCGATCTCTGTCATTTCTGCGATTCAGCTGAGGAGACACCGTTTCACCTGCTTATGGAGTTATGGAGTGTGATGCCGTAGCGAGGAGTCGTAGGACGTATTCTTCTCTGAGCACGTGAACGTATGCCTAGCCATTTGTCTAGAATTCGGAGTGAACAACGGAATTATACGCAATAGATTGCTGGCGTCCGGCTCGAAATCTATCCGATGGTACAACACAATGCACGTGATTCCATCAAATGTACAGACAGCGTAAATCCCGACTCTATTACATGTGATGTATACGCAGGTTAGATGAATGTCTGTTGCCAGAAATAGTGTTGACATTTTGATATTGTGTTTCATCTAAACGCATAAGCTAAAGAGCACGACGAATTAAAAAGAATCTCTCGACAAATATTGTTTTTTATTTTACATGCTTTTATTAGAAACTTTTATTATTACCTTGGAATCAATTTTTAACCAACTTCCCTAGACTTGAAACTAAAACTTAGCTCAGAACCCGATGACAATGCAATATGAAAGCTGAATTAATTTGCTTGGTGGCGCAGATGTCGAGATATTTGAAAACGCTTTATTTCTGGTCCGATATGGTTCATATTTGAAATGAAAAGGAATCACTTCACAAAAATGTTGCCTGATAGGTGGCGCAGGGGTCGAGATATTTGCAAAATCTGTATTTATGGTCCGATTTTGTTCATATTTAGACGTATATTACTTAAAAAGAAAGAAATAACTCCACAAAAAATTTAGCCGTTAGGTGGTGCGGGTCGATTTTTTTAATAATCACTAAAAAAACTTGTCTTTAATTTTTTTTTTTAATTACTTGTTTTATTTATAAAAGAAAATTTATTTTTTTAATTTTTAATTTTTTTAATAATCACTA